AAAAAAAAGTATGTGCCTCTGGTTTAAGAGATGCAGGTGAAAAAACAATAATTGAAAACCCAATTCATAATGAGATGAAGGAGCAATAATGACAAAAGAGTAAAAGTCGTGAAGGTAGGTAAGAGAGAGCTAACAAGGGGCCAATAAACATCACATGGCATTTAATGATGAGAGATTTAATTTAGGAAATGCCATGATGCCTAAATACATTAATAGCTGTAAAACTGTCAGAGTGCACACAGGGTGACTATTTTGAGACAACCCAGGAGCAAAATACAGTAAACAGAGGTTTGTCTTTCAAATATAGGTTTATCTACAAGGAATATATACATACACATAGTAGGCAAAGTCAGGCAATCAATCATCAACCACAGCACAGAAGTATACACGGAGAGAGAGAAAACACCCTCACAGGGCCTCTCTTATATATACAGCCTCTTCAAGTGAAAATTAAATAATCCTGCTGACTCATTCTCATTGCATCATCATTTCAGTATTACAGCATTACAGTAGCTGGTCAGCTATTAAATCATCATTACCTTGACAAAAAACATTTCATTTGTACAGAACAGATGGGAAAGGGGGATATTGAAGCCTCTCCTTTTAATGTACACTAGAAAGGGGTGGGCCTTTGATTGCACAATCGCTGCACCCATATTGACTTTTTCATGAACACCTCTGCTCTGAACTCTTGACATACACACCTGGACAAGATCTGCTAGAACCTAAGTCTCAAGAATTTTAGGAAACATTTTCATTCTTGAATCTACACACTTCAAATACTGCTGGATTTTAATGGATCATATGCTTCTGCGGCAACTACTGATAAATTAAGCCTCTGTGGATGACAACTATGACTAAAATGGCTATGGTCTCTTTACATCATTTCTCTGCCTCCTAGGGAAACTGTGTTTGATGAAGAGAGAATAAAGATATGGCTAAGCTTTGTATTTCCAAAACAGCCGTTACGATTTCATCCTTCGAACTCTCCTGCTTTTGCCATGTATCCAATGAAGCTAATCTAATTACGCTGATGTGTTTTGGGGATTTTAGGATAGTTTCACACATTTAACCTTCATAAATGTTCACTTTTCTGAATTGCATGGTTTTTTTTTAAATCTATAATTAAAACTTATAAATACTCACTCCTTTATCCATGGGAACCTTCACATCCATGGACAAATAACCAGTTTCTCCATTGATCATTGCTGTTCGTAACTGCAGAAAGAAATTAAAATACTTATAGTAGCTGGCTCAAGACCACTGGCCTGCAATAGTAATTGAGGTATAGATATTTCACCCCTTTGTGTTTAGCTAAATAATATACAGATTGGGTTGTAATCATACTGATTCAGGAAAGCAATTGCCATGACTAANGTTCTCCAGAACCTGTCAGAACCTGCTGGATTTCACCTCTGGGAAACACGGTAATATTCCAACATTCTTGTACAGCACACTGGCTACTTTGTGAATTCACACCCCTAGTACCAAAGGAATCTTGCTAAGTAGGATTAGCTGTGGTACGTAATACGATTTTAGCACTGTTTCTTTGTCTACCTTTATTCATGACTTGATGAGCATTGCACTTCTTATCAGATAGAATTGGAGGGGTGGGGGGAAGACTGGCCACAGCCTTCAAGGCTGTCCTGCCCCTGCTTTAATGTCCTTGAAATACGTTACACAGATCGATGCTCAGCAGCTGGTCTACATGAAATGACAGATAGGCTTGAGAGGGGAGTGTGACAGAGAAGGTGACAAGCGGTAGGATAACCATCTCAGTCCTTGTGGCTGCAGTCACGGGGGACGCTTTCCTTTTCTCCTTCACCTAAATATCATCCTTCCCTTTTGTGAGTTAAAGACCAATCCTCAACGTCCTGGAAACCAACCAACCCCCACCCCCATCTAGTACAATGACAGCAGGCATCAAAGGACTGGAGGCTAAACTGTTCATGCTTTGGAAAGGATGATCGATCCTGGAGGCAGTTATGTGAGCTGGCTGCCAGCTGAGCATTTCAAAAACATCTCAGCTAGCTTATTTAATTAGCCGAGCATGGCCAGCCTTAATGGTCTCAAAAAAAAAAAAAAGAGGAAAAAGAAATCTGTGTGGGTTGCCATATAATGTTGAGTGGCTTCCCCAGTTTCTGTATTGCTAGGATAGGAAACAGCCTGACTTAAATGACGCCTATAATATTCCCCCAGGGGTCCCAAGCCCTCCTGCTTTTCTATTGCTGTTAACATTCGACTTGTTTTTATGATTCCTAGCTACCACAAGGTCACAGCAAGTGTCAGCATCTCTAACCAACGTGGCTGATCTGGGGAAAAAAGCTAAGCAGGACCAGTTCCAGCTGAGACATGGATTGGAGACCACTCAGAAATGAAGAAGGATCTTTAGCAGGGATGACATTCAATTTTTTGAATGGTGCCAACCAGGGGTGATATTTAAGGGTTCAGTGAACTGATTCAAATCACCCCTACTGGTTCGCCTGAGTCGGTCCAATCCAGTTGAATTTCACCCCTGATCTCTAGGATAGAGTGGAAAACTGAAGGGAAAATGGAGGGGAAAAATTCCAAGGCAATAGCATTGCTGCCATTGGATTCAAAGAACACCAAGAAAGTCATAATGGATTTATGTTTATTTTAAGCATATCCACAGGCAGTACTAAGATATCTCTCTCCCTCTCCCTCTCCCTCTCCCTCTCCCTCTCCCCCTCCCTCCCTCCCTCCCTCCCTCCCTCTCTTCCGTATATATTCATAATACAAACAGTCTGCATGGAGTAGAATTTCCTCATTCTACTTTGTCTCCTTCAGTATAGTTTTTGTCTGAATATTGAGGGGAATTGGTGAACTGTTTCATGCATTTAGCTTCGCCCTGAAACATGATCTGTTTTTTTTTTTAAAAAACCTCAGTCTTAATGTTAATTAATGCAGGCAAGGAGGCACTTCTTATAGCCTGAAAGCTTACAAGATTAGAGAAATGGCAAACAGTCTCAAGTATTTGGGGACAGGAGGTGGATGTGATATTAACAGGAGTGAATAAAATGTCTCCACGGAACCCTGCTTTGCTAACCTTTAAAATAATGTTCAGTACAACTGGAAGCAGGGGAAGAATATAAACTTAACAAATCAATTCCATGGAGGGTGTGAAATTTAGATGAAGCAGAGAAGCAGAGCATGAAGAGGTTAAGAAAGGCTAGTGGAGCAGGAGAGAAAAAACAGTGCTACTTTTAAGAGCACTGATATATATTTCTTCAACTCTTATTTCTGGTTACAACAGACTTTGGAGAATTTTCTATCAATTCAGAATCTCTATACCTTTATTTAACTTAAGGGGGCAGCTGGCCAAAGAAATCATCCCAGTGCCTGCATGTTAGAGACTCCATGGAAAACTTTCCAACTCTCTTGAAGGGAAAAAAAAGTATGTGCCTCTGGTTTAAGAGATGCAGGTGAAAAAACAATAATTGAAAACCCAATTCATAATGAGATGAAGGAGCAATAATGACAAAAGAGTAAAAGTCGTGAAGGTAGGTAAGAGAGAGCTAACAAGGGGCCAATAAACA